ATCTCTGAGATCCGGCGGCTCTGGTGGATGTCCCGGACGCCTATCGTCGGAGATACGGTCAACCCGTGTAATGCGGATGCGCAGTAAGGGTGCAAGGGCCTTGAAAGGCCATGTTAACATTCTTCGGACGAGGTTGTCCAGCGAGGGTCAGCATGGATGGACTGGAGAGGCAAGGATGCAAGGATAAACTTGGAAAGTTGCACATCCTGACTATGTGGGTTGACTGTGCCAGAAGCGGCTCTCAAGCCCATGCATCCCCCTGACGTCTACCCCCGCAAAAGATCCCAACAGCAGCAAAGAACGGCAATGTGCCAAGAGGAAGCCAGGAAAAGAACAAATTCGGGTGAGGATAAATCGAGAATCTCTGAGATCTGGCGGCTCTGGAGGATGTCTCGGGCGCCGCGGCCTTCTCAGATCGATCCCTGAACGCTCTGCGAGCGTTCCGGAACGCTCTGGAACGGATTTATCCCTGTCCTAACCCTAGGTCGGGCGTTTGCACCTACAGGCGGATTTTGGACGAAAAATAAAAAATGGTATAAAAGAAGTCTTGATACAAATCGTCCTAGCCCCGACCCTTTATCGTCGGAGATATGGGGAGCGGCTCCCCGGTCGATGCATCACCCCTGACGTCTACCCCAGCAGGGGATCACAAAGGAGCAAAGTACGGCCACGTGCACATAGCGGTGTTTGTTTTTTGCCCAGGGATCACAGCCGCCGGGGCCGAAAATACAGCCCTTCAGTGGAGTGCACGATTCCTCGATAATCTGTGAGGAGGCCTCGGCCTTAGCGGCTGCTAAAACGGCCGGCCCAGGCCTCCCCGAGCCCAAGGTGGGACTCTCTTCTGTGGCCTCGTGTACCCCTACCAGAAACTTCTAGCGAGAGGGTGCCAAAGAAAAAAGCGACGCGATCGCCACCAAAACACACATCGTCGGCAAGAGCGGGAGCTGCTCCGAGGAAGGGATTGTAGCCGTCCGGACCGAAAACGACTGGACTGAAAAAAAAAACAAAAAACAAAAATGACATAAATATCTATGTATACACACATACATACATACATACATACATACATACATACATACATACATACATACATACATACGTATACGTATACATATACATATACATATATATATATATATATACATATACACATACACATACACATACATATACATTTACATTTACATATACATATACATATACATATACATATACATATACATATACATATACATATGCATATACATATACACATACACATCCACATACACATACATATACATATACATATACATGTACATGTACATACAAACATACATACAAACACATATGTATGTGTGTAGATGTATACATAGATACATGCATACATACATACATACATCCATGCATGCATACATGCATGTATACATACATGCATACACGCATACATGCACACATGCATACACGCATACATGCACACATGCATACATGCATACATGCATACACGCATACAAACATATATACATACATACATACATACATACATACATACATACATACATACATGCATGCATGCATGCATGCATACATACATACATACATACATACATACATATGCATGCATGCATGCATACATACATACATACATACATACATACACATATACATACATACATACATACAAACAAACATACATGCATACATATATATATACACATACATATTTACATACATACATACATACATACATACATACATACATACATACATACATACATATATACCCATATACATACATATGTTTTACGCAAACAAAAATCGTCGGAGATAAGCTGGGACCTCGGAGATCCCAGCCTTGGCCAGGTCGGCCGGCTGGCAGCCCCCCCCCGCGAGGGCGCCTCGGCGGCCGCGCGACACCGGCTCTCGGCGGCCGCGGGCGCGGCATCTGCCCTCGCACGCAGGGGCGCCCCCGCCGGCAGGGGAGCACCGTCCCGCAACGTTTCCTCCTCCTCTTCCTCCTCCCTCTCCTCCTCAGTCATCATCATCATCATCATCATCATCATCATCATCATCATCATCATCATCATCATCATCATCATCATCATCATCATCATCATCATCATCATCATCATCATCATCATCATCATCATCATCATCATCATCATCATCATCATCATCATCATCATCATCATCCTCATCATCATCATCATCATCATCGTCATCATCATCATCATCATCAGCATCATCATCATCATCATCATCATCATCATCATCATCATCGTCATCGTCATCATCATCATCATCATCATCATCATCATCATCATCATCATCATCATCATCATCATCATCATCATCATCATCATCATCATCGTGTTCCTCCTCCTCCTCCTCTTCTTCCTCCTCCCCCTCCTCCTCCTCCTCCTCCGTCCTCCTCCTCCGTCCTCCTCCCAGCGTAAACATGAATTTTCGGAGGTTCTTGCGGATGTCTTGGATCGGTGCTGGACCTCTCCTGGAAGCACCTTTGGTGCAGCCCTTGACGCGCTCCGCGCGCTGGAGACGGTTTGGTTCGGCACAGACCCCAAAAAACGCACAGGCATCCAGAAGTCGACGTTCATTCGTTTTCCCCCTCGAACAAAGCACGTGGGTCTACAACGCGAGCCCATGCGACGAAGGCCTAAGGTCCCATGAACCTACCCAAAACGAAGAGCTTCCCAAGGTATAGAACCCAAGCATGAAGAGCACAAGGGCATCCCTGAAAAAATATGGAGATGTTTTTTAAACCTCGTTCCACCTGGACCCTCATCCCCCTGATGATGAAACAGAAGCAGAAAGAGAGGAAGCGAGGCAGATGAGAGCAGCCCGTATCAAGCACCACGATGCCTCAGATGAGAAGACCCGGCAGCTGCATCAGTACCGCAAGCGGTCCACTCGCACGAGGCGTATGGCATTTGGAGTTCTCCGCACCTCTCCCTGGCCCCTGCGCGAGCAGCTTCCGGGCCGACGCTCCCGCCGACGGCGGGTGGGCCCCCGAATCGCGAAGCGGGGAAAGAGAAGCGAGGAAGACAGAAGCAGCAGCCCGTGTCAAGCGCCACGCTGCCTCGCACGAGCCTGAGCGTGCTGACCCAACCTCCGATGTCTCGCCTGTTACGCCACTGGATCCCCAGAGTTGTCCCGGATCGTTGCGTGACGGTTCGGGGGCCCAGAGAGGGACACACTCGGACCCCACCTCGTTCGCTCGCTCGCTCGCCAGTCATACGCCGAAACGCGCGTGGACAGATCTAGCATGCACAATACTGGGCAACGCCTCTCGCCGAAGCATTGCAGTCCTGGACGCTTGCCAGTACCTTAGCAGCGCGCCTTTGCACTTGCCCGGTCCATTCGTTTCTAGGGCACCCTACCCGCCTCACATACTGGCATGTGATTGGAGCGAGAGTTCCTGGGCAAAATGTTCGACGCTGCAGCACGTCGTTTTCGGGGGCTCTCACCACTCTGCCGTAAGCAAGCACTTGTTGGCGTAGTAATTTATAAGAAACTGGCTGCCTGCCAGCCCTGGCCAGAACCACCTCGTTGGACACGCGCGATATAAAAGGCAAGCTGAATTCGCAGGATTACCCTCAGACGTCTGCATTGGAAGCCATTCAGCTCGCGGGCGTCCGCGACTTTGCGCCACGCAGAACTAAGACTATGGAGAAGCTGGCTGACGATGACAGCCTCGAACACCTCGAGCTTCCTCGCGGTCGTCAGCCGCGCGTGCTTCCAAAAGCGGCTCAAGTGGCAGAAGTCGCCCCAGGCCCTCCCGATTCTGCGGTGGAGGTCTCCTTTGGCACTGCCACCAGGTCCGATGTCGACGCCAAGGTAATGCATCACCTCCGCGCTCGGGATCGGCCCCCCCTCAGGGCGCGCTCAAGCTGCAGCTCCTGCCTACGGGGATCAACTAAAACTTCGACCAGTGGAGGGACATCCCGCACTGAGCACCCGCAGTGGCCGCGGCGCCCAAGAGCTCCCGCGAGTGGCTCTCGTTAGCTCCGACGAGAACAGTATCATTTGCATATGGGAGAAGATCGAGCAGACCATCGCCAAAGTTCTTCCGCGCCACCGCAGACAGCGACCTCGTCGCGTCTTCGACGACAACCGTCATCAGCATGACATAGAGGAAAAGCGAGAGTGGACACCCCTGCGAGATACCTCACAGCTGAGCTCGCTCCGCTGACTCCCCCGCGGGGCAAACAACAGAAAAACTGCGGTCTTGATAGGACGTGCTGAATCACCCCCAGGATCTTCGGCCACCTTGCCACCATGGCGTGCCAGTTCTGCGCCCACTCGTCTTCTGACGGCGAAGACAGCATCCTCGCACCCCCTCCTGTCCTGAAGCCGAACTGCGTCTTTGCAAGCCTTGCCCCTGCGCCCCCGCGCTTCAATCGCCTAAGCAAAATTGAAGCCTGCAGCTTGTACGCCACGCAGACAAGACTAATTGGGCTATACTTGTCACATTCCTGGCTGCTCCCTTCCTGGTGTATAGAAGCAACTGAGGCTTCATGCCAGTCTACGGGCGTCTGCTCCGCGGCCCAGCAGTTGCTGCACAGGTCAACCACCCATTGCATCCCGCGCTGCGCGCTGCCAGCGGCTCGCCAGAACTCCGCGGGGGCGCCATCTGGACCGGCGGCCCTGCCTTTCTTGAACCCTCTCAAAGCATTGGCGAGGCGACCTCCCCCGCGCCGATGGCTTCCGAGCTGACTGGGGGCCCCGGCCCGGGAGGCGGGCCACGAGGCCTGCAGGGCGCACGTGCCACGCGACCCCCCCCCCCCCCAGGTGCTTCGCCATCGTGTCTGCCCACATATCACCCTCGACAAGGTTGCCCTCCTGGCCCCGCAATTCGCCACCGTCTGCGTGCTTAGGTATTCTCGCTCTCTTGATCTGCCTCCAGCTGCCGTTGCTGAAAAGATCGCCAACCCACTTCGCCCTGTCCCCGTCGCTGATCCAGCAAAGCCAACGTAGCATCAGAAATCCACGGTTTGTTTGGCCTCTTCTGCCTGTCTGGCAGGGCGGCCGCGGCCGCAGCGACGGCGGCTTCCCCCACCCGCCAAACCTCGCTAGCAGTTTCCTCACAGCCGCCGTGGTCATCCAGGTCCTGATTGAAAGCGGTTACGAAAGCATCTCGAATCTCTGGCTGCTCAAACGCCTCTACATTCCTTCGCGGAGCCTTCTGTCGAGCCCCAGTGGTCGCGATCACCAGTTCCGCTCTCAACGGGAAATGGTCCGACACCAACACGGCGCCACGAACTGCTGCCAGACTGCGGAGGGCGGGGCGCACGTCGAGCCCACACAACAGGAAATCGGCCATGTAAAAATCCTGTTCTGTGACCTTTCCTGTCCTTGAGTTGCCAGGCTCCACAAACGTCGCCTTCTCGCTCGGCCCTCCAAGCACGAACGCGATGGCGACCAGAAGAGAACTGCTCAAGCACACCTCCACAAGCAGATACATCCCTATTCGTTACCTCCGTTGTCGACGCAATGCACCTCCCAAAAGTGCGCGGGTCCACGATGTCCTCTTCGCCGGGCAGGCCCGGTCCCAGGCGAGCGCCAAGATCTCCAAAGACAAGCTTGGCGACGTTCGCAGACAGAGCCCTAAAACAGGAATCCAAATCACAGAAAATCGACGTCTCTCGACTGGTGTTCTCGCATTGCGTGGAGCGCACGCACGCGCAATACCAAGAACTCCCCCCCGCGCTCGAAGCCTCGGGGAACATAGACGATCAGGTATTCGCACGTACGATTCCACAGCAAAAACGCAGCGAGGGGAAACAATGAAACCAGTCCCAGCCCAGCTTCCGACATTGGAAACGCTCCCAGACAAAAGAATCATATGACCAGCTTCAAAACGCACGCTGCCCGATGATACCCACGTCTCCTGCAATGACAACATGTCAACATCTAGGTTCCGCACGCGCTGCATTAATTCATGAAGCTCCAAGTCTGCGAAGCCCTTTGCGCTCCAAGATCCACGCACCAGCGTAGACGTCGAAAGCGGACTCGTTGAAGGACAACAACCAGCACAATGAAGTCCCGCACCTAAGCTGTTGCTGGCGCGGGGTGAAACAGCGCCCACGCACCCTCGGCCCCATCACCAGCTTGACGGGCCCTTGCCCGCCCCCTTTGACACCCCCGCCCTGCCCTTGGCCAGGCGGTCGCGCGCGCTCTGGTAGATGGCCCTGAGCTCCGCGGACTGTTGGAGCCCATCCCCCTTCTCCCACTCCTCGCTGATCCAGTCGACGCCGAACTCGTTGCCAATGACTTTGACCTTCACCACCGGGTTGCCCTCAACCTTTAAGGCGCACGTGTCTCTGTCCACGCTGACCGAAGGCACCGCGAATTTCCACTCGACGAGCTGGTTCCTGAGCGCGCGGGGGAAACCCATGCACACGCGCTTCTCGATGGGAGCCTCGATGTCGCACCACAGGCGGTCGGACCTCTGCTTTCCCACGTTATCCTCCACCACCTTCTCTCTCAACATCTTCAGGCCCAGGCACGCGTCGACCGCACTCGCAAACTTGACAAACACCATCCCATTGAACTCCTCCCCCTCCCGGCCCTTCTCATACACATCAAATGGTTGGACAAGCTTGCGGATACAGTCGGCCGTCGCTTCGACATAAGGCCGCTCGGAGTAGCTCTGAAGTTGCGCAGCGACTCCTCGATCATCTGCGCGACCTCCTCCTCCTTGGTGGCTTCGCCCATGTCATCCTTAGTCACCATCTCCCCCTCATGCTCTTCACTTCCGCCTCAATGCTGCTGGACGTCATATTTGCATCGAGCGCGGCGTGCTTCACGGACTTCGCCTCGTCGCGCGCCTCCTGGGAGATTATATCACTCTTGCGCATCATCCCCTTCATTTCCTTCATGTCCCTCCTCATTGCCTTCATCCTGATCTCCATTTTCATGCTGGCATCCTCGTCCACCTCCACCTCCTCCACCTCATCCGCCTCTTCCGCAATCACCTCAACCCCGTCGTCCCCCTTCGCCTTGCCCGGGGACACGAAACGCGCCTGCTTCGGCGCACCGCCGGCAAGAGAACGTTCCATGCGATCCATCGGCGAATTTGCACTTGAAGGCATAAGGGACGAGGCAGCACAAACAGTGCGCAGAAAATCTTCAAGCCATCCACTCCTGGGATCTAGAAAGGAACCGAGCTCAAACTTTTTGCGTCGCGGCCATGCAGGGTAAATGAGCTGGCGGAGGGCTACCCAAACAGGGGTACCGTTGTAGCGAATTGTGCCACCATGAAGGAGGGAGGGGAAAAAGCAGAGGACATGGCCAAAAGAGGGGGCGGGAGGGGAGCGAGGCCGCTCAGGGGGGCGGGTCACGCACCGAAACCGAGCTCAAACAGGAGAGAGCTCCTCATCCTCCTCCTCGACCTGGCTCGGCGGCGCTCAAACGGGTGTGGCGCGAGGGGGTGGGTTTCTGACAAGGCGGGGGGCTCGTCAGAAGGCGAGCGGCTTCCCAGAAAAGGGCCTGGCAATTTCCGAAAAGCCTTCCCAGAAGCCAGAGAAACTCCTAACAAGCCGCCTGGTTTCTTGGAAGCTCCCCCCCCCGCCTTCTGCAGAGGCCACCCCCCTCGCGCCACCCCAACCTGGGCGCCGCCACACAGCGGAAGGCCTGGAAGGGAGGCGTGGCTGGGACGCGGGAAGAATGCGAGGAGGGGGAGGAGGAGGAGGAGGAGGAGGAGGAGGAGGAGGAGGAGGAGGAGGAGGAGGGACGACAAGAGCAAAGGGCAGCCTGGGAAGCTCACGGAAGGACGGGGGCGAGGGACGACGGAGCAAGCTCAAAGGCAGCCCGGGGCCTCAAGGCGCCTGGGGCGTGCCCATGCCGCCCGCGCCCCAGCGGCGCGCACTGCCGGCATGCTCGCCGCCAACGGCGCCCGAGCTCTGCCCCTCTGGGCCCCCCCGGCGAGGGGCTCGCCGCAGTGCGGGGCTGTCGCCCAAGCGCCGCCCACAGTCGTCCTCGTCCTCCTCCTCCTCCTCGTCCTCCTCCTCCTTCCTCCTCCTCCTCCTCCTCCTCCTCCTCCTCCTCCTCCTCCTCCTCCTCCTCCTCCTCCTCCTCCTCCTCCTCCTCCTCCTCCTCCTCCTCCTCCCTCCTCCCCCTCCTCCTCCTCCTCCTCCTCCTCCTCCTCCTCCTCCTCCTCCTCCTCCTCCTCCTCCTCCTCCTCTCCTCCTGCTCCTGCTCCTCCTGCTCCTCCTGCTCCTCCTCCTCCTCCTCCTCCTCCTCCTCCTCCTCCTCCACCTCCTCCTCCTCCTCCTCCTCCTCCTCTCCTCCTCCTCCTCCTCCTCCTCCTCCTCCTCCCTCCTCCTCCCCTCCTCCTCCTCCTCCTCCTCCTCCTCCCTCCTCCTCCTCCTCCTCCTCCTTCCGCCCTTCTCCGCCCTCCTCCGCCCTCCTCCTCCTCCTCCTCCTCCTCCTCCTCCTCCTCCTCCTCCTCCTCCTCCTCCTCCTCCTCCTCCTCCTCCTCCTCCGCCTCCTCCTCCTCCTCCTCCTCCTCCTCCTCCATCCTCCCTCCTCGCACCGTCGCACTCCCAAGGCGTGCTGGCAGGGCTGGCTGGGCACTTCGCCCGAGAAGTCCTCACCACTTAAAGACCCTGGAGCTCACAATCTGCAACAGTTCGAGCGAGCGAGTGGCGCAGCAGCAGTCGGATCGATAGCTGCGGCCGTGGATGGAGATCGCGGGAGGGTGGGCAGAGATGCCAACACTCCTGCTAGTATAGTGCGCCCGAGTGGGCGCCACGCCGCGCCCGTGGCGAGCACCTCCCGTGGGTACAGTGCTGGCCACGCTGAGCAGTCAGCGCCTGCAAACCAAGAGCGCGCGGTTTTCAAACTGCGGTTCTCGCCATGGCGCCGCGCACATTCGTCCTAAAGGCTTGCAACGAAGGGATGGATGCCGGGTCCCTGTCAGGATGTGGCTCCCGCCTGAGCGTTTTGGTCCGCCTGAGGAGTCTCAGACGGTGTCTTCCATTGGGGCACTTCCTGCAATGAAAACACATTATTGCAGGAACCCATGAAGACGGAACTGTGAGGGAGGGTTTACTGCCACATCGCTGGTGCGTCTTGGCTCTACACTGGTCCACATCGTCCACATCATCATACCCATAACACATCATCATCAGCAGCATCATCATCAACAATATCATCATCATACTCATCCTCAGCATCCTCATCATCCTCATCATCATGATCATCATTATCATCACAATCGTCATCATCATCATCATCAGCAGCAGCAGCAGCAGAATCATCAACAGAAGCAACAGCAGCAGTATCATCAGAAGCAGCAGCAGCAGCATCAGCATTATCATGATCATCATCATCATCAACAACATCATCATCAGCATCATCATCATCAGCATCAGCATCAGCATCATCATCATCAGCATCATCATAATCATCGTCATCGTCGCCGATCTCGTCATCATCAGCGTCGCCATCATCATTATTATCAGCATCAGCAGCATGATAATCATCAGCCGCAGCATTATTAGCATCATCATCGTCATCATCAGCATCATCATCATCGTTGTAGATGTCGCCATCATCATCGCCACCACAACGATCATCACCACCACCGCCACCACACATACCACCTGCATCAGCAGCATCATCATAATCAGCATCCTCAACAGCTGCATCATCATCATCACCACTATCATCAGCATCATGATACTCAGCATCATCATCATCGTCATCAAAAACAGCATCATCATCAGCAGCAGCATCATCATTATTGGCATCATCATCAGAATCAGCATCATCGTCATCGTCGCCGATCTCGTCATCTGCATTGTCGCCATCATCATGATTATCAGCATCATCAGCATAATCGTCATCAGCAGTAGCATTATAACAATCATCAGCAGCAGCCCCCTTCTCCTCCCCCTCCCCCTCCTTCTCCCCTCCTCCCCCTCCCTCCCTCCCTCCCTCCCTCCCTCCCTCCCTCCCTCCCTCCCTCCCTCCCTCCTCCCTCCCCTCCCTCCCTCCCTCCCTCCCTCCCTCCCCTCCCCTCCCCTCCCATCCCTCCCTCCCCCCCTCCCTCCCTCTCCCCCCTCCTCCTCCTCCTCCTCCTCCCTCCTCCTCCATCCTCCTCCTCCTCCTCCTCCTCCTCCTCCTCCTCCTCCTCCTCCTCCTCCTCCTCTCCTCCTCCTCCTCCTCCACCTCCTCCTCCTCCTCCTCCTCCTCCTCCTCCTCCTCCCCTCCTCCTCCTCCTCCTCCTCCCCTCCTCCTCCTCCTCCTCCTCCTCCTCCTCCTCCTCCTCCTCCTCCTCCTCCTCCTCCTCCTCCTCCTCCTCCTCCTCCTCCTCCTCCTCCTCCTCCTCCTCCTCCTCCTCCTCCCCTCCTCCTCCTCCTCCTCCTCCTCCTCCCTCCTCCCTCCTCCTC